AGAAAGCCTTCATTCTAATCTTTGACTAATTGAACTAGATTCTACTCAATGAATAACCTATAATAATAAAATTGTATGCCTGAATATTTAATAATTAATGAATTAGGGAGAATAAAATTTGGAGCAACTGATTAAAAAATGGAAAATAAAAGTGTATTTGTGTAGCCTCCTCTTTAGACTTTGCTACTGATTCCACAAAAGAGAAATTTTAGAAATGATAAATGGTATGTACTCCATAAGAAAAATATCTGTGGTTTTAATGTTGTAACATCTTAAAAGAAAATATTTTGGAAACATACGTATTTAAGATCAAAAGGAGGTTACAAAAGTCTTTACTTTCTTCGAAAGACAACTTGTTACATACCCAACATAAGAGGAAACCCATTATAGTTTAAAAAAAATAAAAGAGAACCTCAAAACAGTTGCTTTAGCTATGTATCTATTCATTCAACCAATAAACCTTACTAACAGTAAATAAACTTGTATTGTGGGTGAAGCACTGTACTAGGTGCTAAGAATCCCATGATGAATAAGGAAATTCAAGTTTCTCCCTCCCCGCAAAACAAGAACCAAAATGATATATGGAGACAAAAACAAGTAAGAAACACTGCATTTTTGGGACATACTTTTCTTTGAAGTTCACGTATGGTCTGCTGCACAGGCTGTAAAGCTTGTTGGGCTTCAGCAACTTCTGTATTACACTTGCTCATATAGTGCTCTCGCAGTTGTTTGGCCTGTGTTGAAACAGAAAATAAAAACAAACTTTCACTCCAGATATAGAAAATAGTGTAGTATTATATTTGAAGAACAATCTGGTCATTTTATATATTTAAAGCTACTTAATTTGATTTAAACATAAAACTCCACAGGTATACTGTAGATAAAATAAAAGTCATGCTAGAAATTCCTAAGATACATAGGAAAGAGAACAAAATTTACCTGTCCAAGTCACAAAATTTAAGAAATGGCAAATAGTCATTCCCCAAATTTCTATTTAAATGGTTTCTTAATTAGAAAAAACAGAGGGAGGGGGAAAAATGACAGCAATATTTCAAATTACGAGGCAAAGCAAGGACACCTTTCAGAATTCCTTGCCTAATTTAGTTATCATAGTTTCTTGGCATTATTTGAGTTTAAAAATAATACCTGAGAATATACAGTAACACAGGTATTACAGATTGAATTATATTCCCCCAAATTTATATGTGAAGCTCTAATCCCCAATGTGACTGTGTTTAGAGATAGGGCCTTTGAGGACATAAATAAGGTTAAACAAGGTTATAAGAGTAGGGCCTCAATCCAATATGATTGGTGTTCTATTGTAATGAATGGCAACTTCATATGGCTCACCTGAATAGATATATCTCTTTGGACTAGCCATTTCACTTCCCTGAGCTTCTATTACTTCATTTATAAAAGGACGTGCTTGAAGATAAATTCTAGGATTTTGTCCAGCTTTGAAATACTGTGGCTTCATATTTTATGACAATTAGACAAAGTGATAATATGGCCTCCTTAGAAATGCATCTATATAGTATGAACACTCCTTCTTACGATGCATTTTTCCTCTTCCTGTCACAATCTTCCAATTAATTTTTATTAAAATTCCTTAGTTATAATTATTTGGTCATTAGAGCTGTCCACTAATAGACTGGGTTGTCTCCCAGGTATATAATAGCTTCCCGTCACTGAAGGCATTTAAATAAAAAGTGCAAGGATTAGATGTGCAAGGATTAGATGGTAACGCTGGGAATGAAATTTTACTTGAAAACTTCCAACACTTAGATTGCCATCTAACATCAAGAACAGTGAAGTCAAAAGCACAGCAAAAAAACCCACAAAAAACAAACAAAAAAAACCACAACAGAGTGAAGAGATAACCTACAGAATG